GAATATGTTCTTGCATAAACATCAAGCTGGAGGTGATCCGGGATATCCAATCCCCTATAGACAGTTAGAAACATGGGAGCAGTACTTATTCAAGAAATGAAGCGAGGTTATGGATACTGTCGTAAGAAATTATACTTAGAGCCATGGTAGTAAAGAAGTTCACAGAAATAAGCTATTAGGGACAGGGGGGAGGAATAAAACTCACGCTTGGAAATCCTTTCAGTTTGAGAATGTATATCAAGTTGGGATACTTTGGGGCTATAAACGGCAGAAAATCCAAACTAAACTGATTTAAGCAGTCCCATGTAAGTGAAAAGCCTGGGACCAGCGCCTGCCATAGGTATGGCAGAATCCATTAGGTCTTTCTTCTGCATCATACAGCTTCAGTCTCGGGCTCCACATGGTGGCCGCTCCAGCACCTTCATTTTCTTAACTTCACAGCTGGACAGCAGGAGGAAAGATCACTTTCCTCAAAGTATTATTGTACCTCATTGGTTTTCATTGAATCTCATGTTCATCCTTGAACCAAATCAAACTCCAGAGAGTATCAAACATGAAAATCTAGAAAGGACAACAGGTTCCCAGCCCTGCTAGTCAACTTTCTAGAAAACCAGTCATTAGATTCTATTGCTGGAATGTAGCTGTAGCGGGGTGAGTGCCTTCACTGCCGGGTCTCTTGTATCTCAAGCACATTGTGTCTTCTCCTGCCTCCTCAGTGCTCACCTGAGTCTGGCGTGCTTGCTTTCTGCTTGTTTCAGGCTCCCAAATGTTTGCCTGCCCATTGGCTTCGTATTGTTAGGCCATTTTCCTGGGGTTTCAGTCCCTACTTTTATCTTTACCTTCCCGAGAATTCTAGGTATCTCATTCACTCTACCCGAGCAGGAACAAATGGAATTTGTATGACAGTAGGAAAATGTTCACATGTTTAGCAGTGGACACAGTAATATAAAAGCTGTCAACATTCTGATATTTGTTTTGTAATCAAGTCTAGAATTTTTTCTTACATCCCTCCTCTACCCAGCCAATAAATACTTCAAATTGTGTAACTTTGGGGAATTAAGATGAGCCCTCCATCAACCCTGCTTATGTTCTTCTTTGAGAAAAGATAGGTATTCTTAAGGAATATACAGTCAGGAATAATGAGGCAGATTTTGTCATTCTAGTACTATTTTTTTAAGGCAAAATCTCAGAAATGAATTTAGTACAGTAACAATATTTTGAAGTCATTCCTGCATAGCAAAAATATCTAGTAAGGTTCGAATTCTGTACGCATTAACTTACTTCTACAAAGATTCATCCTAGGCTTACAAGTATCTTTGTATAAGAAAGCTGCTATACAATGAGAAAGACTTATCATTTATCTGTATGCTCCAGACAAAATGTTGTCGAGCCCATTTTTAATGAAACTCCTAAATATCAGCTCTTCCTTTTGATGGTCTTTTCTTTGGTAGATAATTACCTCTGCTTTCATTAAGCTGTCCTTTATGTCTGTCTTCACTCATTTGCTTCAATTTCAGCTACTCTCTCCGAAGGTGATGTTTTAGGGATGATTAGAAGTCAGCACATCAGAAGGGGTACTCTGCAGGTTTCTCCCTGTCGTAGGAAGACATTTCAAATGAGGAGAGGGAGAAGGCTAGAAGCCACCCTGTGGTGTTGGGTTAGAGCCAGAGGCATCAGTATGAATTTATGATTTTTAATACATTTACTGATGGGTACAGAAGCACAGATGTGTGCATATACACGGGCCGTATACATGCATTTATCTCTTAGCCCTCCCTGCTGAAAGGGCCCAGAAGCAGTGACACCCTAGCAGCAATGAGCATACCTACCGCCCAGATTTTGGTTTCTAGATGCCATTCTTCAGCAAAAGAGACTAAAGCTCTTTGGAGAAGTGACTGATACTAGAGATGGGATGGGGAAAAAACAAGATGAGCCTGTAAACATCTTGAAAGTAATGAAGTTCTCAGATAATATTGGCGGTATGTCAGAATGACACAGGAACCTATTTGAAAGGGTTCCCAAAGGCCAAATCTGGCTCAATTTAAGCAACAAAGGAAATAATGATAATATTAGATTATAACCCATAAAATAAAATAAATGTACATGAACCCATCCTGGTATAAATAAATAATTGAACTAATAGGGTAGAGGGGACAGCTTTTTTTTAACTCTAGAATACTAATTAATAAATGAAGAAGAATAGGAGAAATAGGAAATCAATATTACCAGCACCATGTAATAATCATTGCAGGCAAGAGCTAGTGATGGATGCTAACTACTGGGTGAAAATTTGATGTAAAAGTAGATACTCGTGTAATCTCCAAATATCTCCCCACAAGATATTTATTATTTTCAAATGGAAAAACAACACCTTTACAGTGGCAAAACCTGGCAGACACCACTTTAGCCATGTGATGAACATTAATATTACCGGTAAGTAGTAAAACATCAATGTCACTTACCCCACAATGATGCACCGAGAAGGGCAACCCTACTCTGGTATTCTTGCCAAAAATGCATAATCTCATTCTAATGAGAAAGGATCAGACAGACCCAAATTGAGAGATGTTCTGCAAAACAATTGGTCTGGACCATCTAAAAGTATCAAGGTCCTGAAGGACGAAGAAAGCTGGAGGATCTGTCCCAGATTAAAGGAGATTAAGGGGACTTGGCAGCTAAATTCAGTGGGGTTCCTGGATTGGATCCTGGACCAGAAAAAGGACATTCGTGAGGAAAATGGCAAAATGTAGATAGGATCTGTAGATGACGTAATAGCATTATACCTGACTTCATCATTTGTACTACAGATACCTAGCTAGGTGGAAGGTATATGGGAACTCCATTTATTTTTGTAACTTTTAGGTAGGCCTAACGCTATTTCAAAATAAAAAGGTTGTGTGTGTGTGTGTGTGTGTGTGTGTGTGTGTGTGTAGAGGAAGGGGACTTGGAAAGACGGCTTCTAAGATCTCTTCCATGCAGTCTTATTCTATGATACAGTGATGCAAAATGAAGAATGGCAAAAGATTTAAGCACTTTTCAGTCTGTCACCTAAGAAATATTTTGCAGCAGCTGAAAATAGGATCAGATGCTAAACTGTCAGTTGAGTTCAGTGGAATATGTCCTGAGTAGCTACTGTTGTGCTCGGTGCTGTACTGCACAGGCTGGTCCTTGCTTCCAGAGTGGTCACAGTCTACCTGTGAAAGTGATGTGGTCTTCCCTCTCAATCACTTAGATTACTAAGGCCTCTCTTCCTTCATGTTTTAAAATAATAAAGTTGAATGGAATAATACAGAAATTGAGAGACCCCCTCCCCACCAAAGCGGGCTCCAAGATTTTCCAGTTTGAGGTACCTGATGAGAATGATAAACTTTAAATAAGATAAACAACTAGGCCTTTAATATTAAATACTTCGTGTATAAGGGACCAATGGGACATTGACATTAAGATTACCACCAGGTAATTGAGTATTTCATTGTAGAGTAGTATGAAGATGCGTGTATTTAGAATAAAGGGTAATGTACTTCTGACATTCCCTTAATGCTCATTTGCTGGATGATTGTATGAATTAAGTATATCCTTTAATAATCCCACTATGACAGTATCCCAGTAATGAATTGGTATATTTAATTTAGCAGCCATTTACTGTTGAGAAGTAAGTATTTCTCAACAGTAGGAAGGAAATATAATGCAGTTAAGTCAGAAGTTATGACTTAAGTTCTAAACTCCATCAATAAGGACGATCTTTGATTCTAATTGATGGGTTTCTATTTTTTAATTTACTTTCTTTTTTTTAGTCTAAGTGAAGTGTACCTTTGAATCAAGAAAATTGTGTCAATGAAATGGAAATCTGACTGTCACAATATATTTGATGAACAAACTTCAGAAATTGATTTCCACCATCACAATTTTAACCAAAGTCTTAACCCTAACACTTTTGTGAGTGTAATTGCCTTCCACGGAAGATCAGAAGTTGTGTATCTTATTTCTGCAGTAGGAACATACAACATATATGAAGTTTTCAAGTCTCTAGAGAATTGAAAAGTCAGTGTGGGTACTGTACTTTGAAACATGTATACTGTGGGCCTAAGGTGTTTTTTAATCTTTCATCTCTTTTAAGGATCAAATATCATTAGAAAAATAAGCCATGGGCATTACAAACATGGTCTGGTGAAATTCAATATTCACAATGACAATTCAGAATGTGAGCTCCTTAGGGGAAAGTTAACCCACCACTCTTAACTTTGCATCCAAGTATCTTGAAGTGTGCCATTGGTTTTATGAAAAGGTTTTGATCTACACTTCTAGTTTAAGTTCAAAAGAAAACCTACGTTTTAAAGTGTATTCCTTTTCTGGGTATATTTACTTTGAACTATAACGTACAGTTTTTCTCATAAATCTAACCTGCCACTATCTGTTTTTAAGACTTTGTAAACTTCAAGTGGTTATGATGTGTGAAGTTTGGATTAAACTGAAATTTTTTAGAAAACACATGTTATATATTTTGATTGTTTTGAATTTTAACATAGGCCAGTCAAAAACTTGAATGTCTAGCAGAGTAATATACTGTACTCTGTTACTATAAGAAATCACAGAAAATTGCCCTTTCCCCATCATGTTAACAATAGACAAATGAAGCAGCTGTTCTTATTCTTAATGTAGTTGTTTGAAAAACTTCCACAATTTAATGAAAATGTCTCTACTCATAAAACTTAAAATGCTCACACATGGAAAAAGTCATAATGTTTTGGCAAATATTGCTTTGTTAGGAATGTGAATGAGGTATACCTGCTTCATAACTAGAATTCTATATAAATGGCATGAAACTGTGGGGGAAAGCCAACCAAAAAGAAGGCTCTGACAAAGGAGGGTGAATAAACGTTCTTTAAAAACATAGATAGTTCTTGCCCAAACATATTTTTTTTGAAGAGGAAGAATTATAATATATTCCTCTCTCCATCTCTCTC